AAATGCAGAAGAAATGAAGAAGGATCAGAGGAAAGGTATGATCAATGAAGGAAGAGTGAAAGCAGAAAACAAATGTTCGAGGCAGAGGAAAATAAGTGTCGGGCGAAGTCTAGGTTAGCATCCAATGCTAGAATGTAACCCACGCCTTTTGTTCAAACCCGTTGCAATTTCAACACAATTTCTATGGAAGAGGTTGCGAAAGTCACAATGCGATGACTCTCACATGGACAGGGGCCCNCTACCATTAATATTCCCTTTCCTCAAACCCCAAACATCGTCTCTACCAACACAACTTTCCTTCTCAGACCTTTTACAGATTCAACATCATATCCTTCATCAGTTCATAATGCGAAACTAAATGCGAAACTAAATGCGAAATATCAAGAACTACTTGCGAAATGTTACTTCTAAGACCTTTTACAGATTCAACGTCATATCCTTAATCAGTTTATAATGCGAAACTAAATGCGAGATATCATGAACTACTTGCGAAATGTTACTTCTAAGACCTTTTACAGATTCAACATCATATCCTTAATCAGTTTATAATGCGAAACTAAATGCGAGATATCATGAACTACTTGCGAAATGTTACTTCTAAGACCTTTTACAGATTCAACATCATATCCTTAATCAGTTTATAATGCGAAACTAAATGCGAGATATCATGAACTACTTGCGAAATGTTACTTCTAAGACCTTTTACAGATTCAACATCATATCCTTAATCAGTTTATAATGCGAAACTAAATGCGAGATATCATGAACTACTTGCGAAATGTTACTTCTAAGACCTTTTACAGATTCAACATCATATCCTTAATCAGTTTATAATGCGAAACTAAATGCGAGATATCATGAACTACTTGCGAAATGTTACTTCTAAGACCTTTTACAGATTCAACATCATATCCTTAATCAGTTTATAATGCGAAACTAAATGCGAGGTATCATGAACTACTTCCGAAATGTTACTTCTAAGACCTTTTACAGATTCAACATCATATCCTTAATCAGTTTATAATGCGAAACTAAATGCGAGGTATCATGAACTACTTGCGAAATGTTACTTCTAAGACCTTTTACAGATTCAACATCATATCCTTAATCAGTTTATAATGCGAAACTAAATGCGAGATATCATGAACTACTTGCGAAATGTTACTTCTAAGACCTTTTACAGATTCAACATCATATCCTTAATCAGTTTATAATGCGAAACTAAATGCGAGATATCATGAACTACTTGCGAAATGTTACTTCTAAGACCTTTTACAGATTCAACATCATATCCTTAATCAGTTTATAATGCGAAACTAAATGCGAGGTATCATGAACTACTTCCGAAATGTTACTTCTAAGACCTTTTACAGATTCAACATCATATCCTTAATCAGTTTATAATGCGAAACTAAATGCGAGGTATCATGAACTACTTGCGAAATCTTACTTCTAAGACCTTTTACAGATTCAACATCATATCCTTGATCAGTTTATAATGCGAAACTAAATGCGAGATATCATGAACTACTTGCGAAATGTTACTTCTAAGACCTTTTACAGATTCAAAATCATATCCTTCATCAGTTTATAATGCGAAACTAAATGCGAAACTAAATGCGAAATATCATGAACTACTTGCGAAATGTTACTTCTCAGACATTTTACAGATTCAACATCATATCCTTCATCAGTTTAGAATGCCAAACCGAATGCGATGAACTAGCTGCGAAATGTTAAAAAGGTAAGAGACTGAAACCTCGATGAAGCATCTGAGAGAGCCGATTGATATGAATACCAGCGCCATGAAGGGATTTCATGGAGGGAGTGAGCTTATGAGGGCTCTGCAATGGCGGCAGATTAGGGCACGCGAACATTTTAGGGATCTGGTTGGGCTTTTGGCAAAAGTGGCCCAAAACTAAATGGGCTTTCCTACCCTACCCACCCTACTCTCTACCCTATTTTTTAAATTTTATGGAAATAAAAAAAAAACGCATTTTAAAATTATTATGAAAATTTAAAAAAAAAAAAATTGACTGATATTTATAGTGTGTCGTGGATAAGTATAATTTTTTAAATAATAAAAAAAAAAGTACAATCAGACAATTATATTGGGTTGGGTTATAAATTTTATCCGAACTGATTGAGTCAATAACCCTATCAACTCAAAATTTCGAGTTGATTCAAAAAATTTCTCTAGTTCAATTCGTGTACAGCCTTATACTGACGGCATGTTTCTCGGTGCGTATCACTTTTATATATATTAGTTTATTGCCGTGCAACTATACTAAATCGGAAACGTTTATTTGTAACCTCCTTTAAAAAATAAAACACGGACACATGACGTTGTGGAGGGCATTTATGGAACAAATAAATTAAAATGTGGGGGAGGGCTTTGAATTTTCCCACAAAATTTGAGGTTCATAAAAACAATAATTGAACCCTAAAACCCCAACTAAAATTAGGGTCAAGTTTTGTAGTTGGGACATCTCATTATACTACATCCCTACTACTACTGCTAATAATAATAATAATAATAATAATAATAATAATAATAATAATGTTGGATAATTTAAAAATGTACTTTATAGTTAACATTAAATTATATTAAAAATATCTTAATTATGCATTAAATTTTTTATTAAAAGTTTGAATTTTCATTTAAAAAATTTAAAAATAGATAAAATGGGAAAGCAATTCAACCCCTCCCACCCGCGGGTTTCTCGATTCTATGTGAGGTGGGGCATACGTCAAAGTGGAATCTATCTCGAATGCGGAGCGCTGGCTCTCACCTTAGATATAGTTACTATATTTACCAATCTGACCATTGCTATAGATATAAGATAGGTAAAAGTAGCTTATTTCTCGTCTCCTAGGCTACTAACACACGTGACTCGGAGAAAAAAAGACAGTGAGCGGTTCTTCGCTTTCTCGTTATCGTGATGATTTAATATATACTACAACTTATTTAAAAGACGGGTAAGATTATTTCACAATGGATCATATCAATCCAATACACCATCTTAGTATTGTTTAGCAAATAAAGTATTTGTAACGGGCTCGAATGTCGGTAGTTCGTTCACCTAGCACACAAATTATTAATGGAACAAAATAAAAGTCTTGTCTCAAATGCTATTATTTTCTGTCATCCTACCATATAATTACGGCATTAAATGTTTTTATAAAGTTTAAGTGTCACATTATTTTCCTACTCTATAATGTTCTGTTTGACATAATTGCCATAAATTTTATTTTGTGGAACTAACCCACACCGTTTGGATATTGACAATTTCCACCAACTTTTATTCAAATTATTTTTTTATGGTCAAAATCTCTAATTATTGATTTCTTCTTGTCAAGTGGAAAGGGGTTATTTGGTAATTTCACACTGAAAAAAACATGACGATGAATGCATACCTTAAATAGTTGTTAGACCTACTCCATTTGTATTACCGAACCTAACATAATCCAAATTTTGTTTCGCAATGAGATTTCTCGTGTTAATTTTACTTCTACTTTATCTTTTAATTTGGGTTTATTCAATTGGTCTAGTTTTACCGATGACGTTAGCTCTCGCACCTTAACTGGGATTTGTTGTTATAGATTGACGATAAGGAGCCCAAGTCGGGAGCTATCACTTTTAGTGCTATGATATTGTTTATTTGAACTTCCCTAGTGGTAGTTTATAAAAATTTAAATAATTAGAAATTAATATGATCGACTTTCATAAATAATTAAATGAAATAATAAAATAACAAATACGTTATAAATAATTAAAATTAATTATTTGGTCAAACCCTCAAAATATAAGTCAACATTAAACATTTTATAGTATAATTTTATATAAACTCAAGTGCATAGGATACCCTCACTCACATGTCTATAGATATTTATATTTTTTTTTACACGAAACTTTCTTACTCAAGTACGTGCGTTATAATATTCCACAAAAGTATAATACAATTTAAATAATTTAAAATATATTTTGTAACTTATTTAAAAAATGAATATTGATAATTTAATTACTTCCCTACTCTTTATAGTCCTCCAATCATTTTTGAGACATAAAATGGTAACAAAATGATATTCTCATAATGTAAATTCTTCCTATTTATATTTTAAGAAAAAAAAGATTTTGAGTTATTTTCTACCAAATTTAGAGAAATTAAAATTCCATAATTAACGGGCTATTTAGCCAATTATGAATTTCGTGCTCGATCGTTTTTTAAAGGAGCAAATCTAAACCATGAAAAGAAAAATCTCATTGTTTCTCCTGCATCGTTCCCAACTCATAGGAGACGTTGTTATTTTGCCCCCGAGGAATCTTTATAACTACCGCTACTTAGCTTTCAACTTGATTTTTACCATCAAATGAAATACGGAGAATCCGTCATCCTCTTCGAAGCGTTGATACAATTTATAATGATAAATTCAATTGTTCGGTGTTATTGTTTTTTTTTTTATGTAATAATAAATTATGAAATAAAGTAGTAAAATATTAGAAAAAGAATAATACTAAAATAAAAGAAAATTCTTCCCCCCTTGATTTTACAGTGCAACCGAGCTCACATGAGCTCGTTATGACATGGCATATCTGAACCTTCCGTCATAAAAAAAACCATCACATTTCGCACGTGGAGACTACACGACCGAGAATGAGCAGTAGGTGCAGGTAGATTGAAATAAATCTACCGCAGTGTAGTAAAACCCAAGTTATTAGTCATTATACGGACACCAAATTAAGAAAAAAGAAAAAAAAACATATATAAAAAGGCAAGAAAACTGACGAAAGACAAAAACGAAAAAGAAGCTGTCCAGAGGGAGAGAGAGGGCGGGGGGATAAAAGCGGGAGTAGAGAAATACTTGTGTGTGTGACAGCACAGGGGAGTTACAGTACGCCCGGGTAGACCAGTCCCTAATCCAACGGCTACAATTGGCGGATCAATCAATGGCCGATTGTTCTGCCGTTTTTGTTCAGATTAAGAAAGTATTTTACATGAACCATTCTCTTTGGTGCGTCGTCTCTCTCTCCCAATCTCTCCCTCTCTCTCTGTAGCAGTGGGCTTCAGTCTTTTCTCTGACTCAAATTTCTATTCTTTTTCATTCTCTGGTTTTAACGTTTTGTAGGTGACGCTTTGAGCTTTGGCTTTCGGCTTAGATCTCTCTTTCGTTCTCTCTCTTAATTTTGAAGGAGAGAGGATCAGATCGGGGCGGAGGGTTGGAGGCCGTCTGATGTGCGGACTTTGACTCGGCCGTGATCCGATACCACGTCGGCGGTGAAACAGTGACGCTGAGAGAGAGTGGAGGAGTTTAGAGATGGGACAGTGTTATGGGAAGACCATTCCGACAACTGATAATGGCGTTATTCCGACCACCATCACCACCACCGTCCCTTCGCAGTCTACGCCTGACTACGGTGGCGATCCATCTCATTTTCCCTCTGGGAGTGGAGGAGGAAACGGCGTAGCTAACGTGAGGGCTACTACGCCGACAACGCCGGCGAGGACTTCGTACCCTAGCCCTTGGCCGAGTCCGTATCCACAGGGAGCTGGTGCGAGTCCTCTGCCTGTCGGTGTTTCACCGTCGCCGGCTAGGGCTTCGACGCCGGGGAGGTTTTTTAAGCGGAGGTTTGCTCCGCCGTCGCCGGCCAAGCACATCAAGGCCTCGTTGGCGAAGCGATTTGGGTATACGAAGCCGAAGGAGGGCCCGATCCCGGAGGAGAGGGGGACGGAGCCGGAGCAGTTGCTGGATAAAAGCTTTGGATATGGGAAGAATTTTGGGGCGAAGTATGAGTTAGGGAAGGAGGTTGGGAGAGGGCATTTTGGTCATACTTGCTCTGCTAAAGGGAAGAAAGGTGAGCTCAAAGATCAACCGGTTGCCGTCAAGATCATCTCTAAAGCGAAGGTACTCTATTGTGATGTGATATTTTCCTTCTTTCCTGACTTCAATCACTTCAATTTGCTTTGTTTGCTTTGTTTGCCTTGATTTGCCTGCTGTTTTGTACATTGTAGGGTTGTTTTGAGATAATTTTTAGCTACTTCTGCATCACTTGTGCATCTGTTTCGGAATTGGGTTCTGTTGTTCATAGATACCGATATTGTTTTTGTTTGTTGTGTTGGGTCCAAATGTACTTTGGATTTGGTGTACTCAGATTTTTCTGTCTCTGTCTCTGTCTCTGTCTCTCATTCTGGTTTGGGGTTGGTGGCGTTTCGGACGGTGGATGATTGCTTTAATTAAGTCGTTAGGTTTAAGATTGCTACATGAAGTTTATAACATTTTGATGCAAAACATTTGATTTTGGGAAGCGTCAAATTGGGAGCATTGCTGCTTAATGATACGAAACTTTGGCACTCAAGAGTTGGCAGCTTTGACATGAAAGTGGGATAATAGCCTAGCTGAAATTGGAGTTTGGATATGTCATACTTGTCCATTACAGAGGTTTAATAGTATTTGATTTTCTGGGTCACACATGATCTCCTCTGTTCTCCGTTATGGTACAGGGTAGGTCCTGTATATTTTCGGTGACGAAAAAATACACTGGTTTTGTGCCTGAACTTTAAGAAAACCGAGTTAGTCTAGGACAGGATGAATTTTGTCATCCATTTCAACTTTAATTTTGCCTCCTAGCTCAAAAGATACTTGGTATCCGTGAACCATTTTGAGGATTCTGGCATAGTTTCTAGAATTGATGCACATTTGACGTAGATTATGCTCATGTAATCCGTCACACTTGAGTTTTGGTATCTAGTTTGTCTCCACACCTAAACCTATTCAACACCAAGATCACATATTAGTTTACAATTGCTGTTGTATGACGGTCAGTAACAATGAGAAATAATAGGGAAAAAGTTCTGAATTTTGACTCAAAACATTTTGACATTTTTTTGGCATGTAGTTTTATTTTCATCATTTTTGATATTGATATTTCTCTTCTCAAAAGAGAACAGTTCATGATTTGTTTAGAATTACGCTTATAAGGTTATTAACCCTACATGCTTCATAAATATGTAACTGACTTTGTTGATTCGCCTAGGGTCTTGTTATATTATATCCTTCAATCTAAGAATTAGTTCTCGCAATACTAATAATAAGTACTAATAATTAAGAAGGAAAACAAAGGAAGATAAAACATCAGAAGTCAAGATCTCCCTTTTTATGTTGATTTATTTTTTCATTCATGAACTAAATGAGGACCATGTGCAGTAAAAAAAAATTGCATGATGGATGCAAAAGGTTTAATGATTGTTTTGGTGAGATGATGGAAACTAGAACTGGGAAATTCTTGAAGGTTGGCTTGTAGTTTGACCTTTGATTGTGGCTTTCTTTAACCTTTGAGAAAATAAGGTTACCTGATGGTAGAAGAGGATAAAATTGATTATAAATCAAAACCATGGCTTTGCTAAATGGGGGTCTACATGTGCAAATTCTGACAGATAATAAATATTGATGCTAGGTTTGTTGAATAAAAGAAAATTGTCTATCTTCTTAGTGTTGTGCCTGTCAGTCTCCTTGAAAATATTTTCTTGGTGTAAAAATGTCAATAATCGTAAGTCCTTGACGTGCTCGGTGCTTGGGTGATTTTTCCTCCCCCTATGTCAGTTCTTACAATTGAGTTTCACTCTTGTGAATGTACGCTTAGCCCTAGGTGGGATACTGAAGGGATTAGTGATTGCACTGCATGGGCAGGCATGTAGCGTCCATTGTAAGAGAGGAGTTTCTGACTTCGCCTCGAGTACAGAAATCATAAGCTCTCCACTGTCTTTCCATCACTCCAGTAATCTCCTACACAGTTCATTAGTCCAGCATATACTTCCACCGAAAATTTGAAACATCAATGGCCAGTATTTGTACAGGATTCAACATGGAATCACTGTCATATATTATTGGTATCATTTTTTTTTACAGACCATAAAATTTTATTCAGCTATATGTGGAATCATAAATTCAACTTAATTTACAGCATCACTAGTTTGGATAAATTCTCCTTATATATATATATATATATATATATATATATATATATATGTTTTTAGAAGAGGTATATTTCATTGATAAATGAAATGAAGGGAGATAAAAGCCCCCATCATCAAAGTGAATTTCATGAAAAGTTTTCAATTGGGGAGTAAAGAGAAAAAATACTATAGTTACTGAAGTAGTGTTTACGTTTACACCAATAAAAGATTTAACAAAACCAAATCCATATAACAATTACAATTCGAAGAAACATCCTTGAAAATTCTACCAATACATTCATACCAAAGATTCCAAAAAAGAAGCTCAGTTGATAGCTAGCCACAAAGTCTTCTTAACACCACTGAAGGGATGTCTCACAAAAAACCGTAGCAAGTATGTCATAAATAGTTTCAGGCCATACAAAATACCAACCAAAAGCTTCAACCTTATCTGACCAATACTGAGAGAGTCAAAGTAACAAGGTGCGAAAAGACAGCTTTGGCATTCAGCATTTAAGCTATGCATAATACCCCATGAGAGGGAGACAAAGGTGGATTTAAATATTTAAATGGACATGCATAGTAAAGTAATATCCAAGTTTGCTTGTGTTGAGTTCCCACATGTATTATTGCCTATTTGAAACAAGTTCTCCCTGGAGGGTGCATTGGACTACCACCTGTTATGTCTCTATATTAAATCTTCCGTAATTGGAGAAGTCCATCCTTGAATCTTTATATTTTCTAGGAGGTTAAACTGTCATCTGGTTTACTCTCTTCTCTCTCTAAAAGTGAACTTATAGCTCTCTAAACACTACAAAATTGGTTGTATTACTTCATCTGTTCAAATGTATTCACTGCATGTATCCTTTTCTTTGGCTATGTAAGCTCGGTTTCTTATCAATTAAAAAATAAAAATAAAAAAAAGAGTTGTATCCTTTTCTTCTGCCTCATTAATTGCATTTCCTATCATTGTGTTTCTTAAAATATCCATTTGGCAGATGACGACAGCAATATCAATTGAAGATGTTCGGAGAGAGGTGAAAATACTGAAGTCTTTATCTGGGCATAGGCACCTTGTAAAATTTCATGATGCATGTGAGGATGCCAATAACGTTTACATAGTCATGGAGTATGTCTTCCCGCTTTTCTATTTCTTATCATTCTGGATCTGAAAAATTATCTTAAACTTTTATTTCATTTCTCTGTGATACAATTGCAATTCACTATGTTGTACTACATAGGGGATGTAACAGTCGTTGTTTGAACTTTTAAGTTTTTTGAATCTCTCAAATTCTACCATATTTCTTTCTTTCCAGGTCATATAATGGATTCAATTTGAAATATGGGAATTTTGATAATCTTATTTCTTGAACATGCAATAAATGAGCAAAATGTAGCATTCTCTTTGTTATTTGTATACAGTTTGGTCTGAACTGAATGAGTTTGGATAACCCTATATTATCAATGAGCATCAAAATGATAAACCATTACAGTTTTCTTTATTTTTTGCAGTTCAGTTTCTGGAGATAATTTTATTTCAATTTGAAGTATCTTGTTTATAATTCCATTTTAGGTTATGTGAAGGTGGGGAACTTCTAGACAGAATTTTGTCAAGGTATTCTATCTTTATCTTAACAATGATATTGTGTTGCCTTTGACTTATTTAATTTATTCTAAAGTATAATTTCCCTCATTGTAGAGGAGGAAGATACCCAGAGGAAGATGCCAAAAGTATAATTGTTCAGATTTTAAGTGTAGTTGCGTTTTGTCATCTTCAAGGCGTTGTGCATCGTGACTTAAAGCCTGAGGTCTTTTCCTTTTATCTTCTGTTTATTTATGTTTTTATTTTTTTATTTTTATAAATGAATTTTTCTCGAAGTTTAAGTTTTTCAGTAAACAGTTTTTCAACTAAATTCTAGAAAACTTCTGTTGTAGTTGCCTTCTGTTTGGTTCCATACTATTAAGGATGAGTTGGTATTTTTCCTTGGCAAGTTCTAGGATCCCATCGTACAACTCGTGATAAGACTTTATATCGAAATTCAAAGAAAGAAATCACGAGTGTTTGCGATAAATATGTCATGTCACTAGATACAGTTACAGAGAGCTTTGTGAGACCCCCCCACGCGCACACCTAAAGAAAAAATGAAAAAGAAAATAAAGTTATTTCTTGTAGTAATTGTATGCCTCCGCTTTGTTTCTTATGTTGTTCTTTCATGTTCTACAGAATTTCTTATTTACTTCTAGAAGTGAAGATGCTGATATGAAGCTCATTGACTTTGGTCTTTCAGACTTTGTTAGACCAGGTAACAAATAGATCTATCTAATTGTTAAATTATTTATGCTATTTGTTTATTTTTATTTTCTCCATCCATAGAAACCAAACTTTCATCGAGGAAAAAAAAAAAAAAAAAAAAAAATCAAGAATACAAGAGCCATACAAAAAGACATCACTTGGTCATTTGTCCTGTGTTCTCGTGAACCCCTTTCTTTTGTCACAAATCACTCTACTGGCCCTATTTGGAGACAATTACTACTCCTAATATATATAAAAAACACATTGGCGGCTTTCCACTCTTATTGCAGTATTTATGCCCTCCATGAAGAATAAACTAGTCTTCGTAATATTTACAATTCTAGGACTGCATTCCACCAAAAAATGCAAGATCTTTTGGTGTTGGGTGATCATAGAATCTTAATCCCAAGCTTTAATGAGAGACAAGTTTTTCTGTCCAGAATTTCAATGTGAACTTCACTAAGATTTCAATTATAATAGAAATTAAATGACTGTTGGAAGATCTATATACTGATATTTTATTATTTGATTGTGATTGTACTTTATATGGATAGATTCTGACACTCTTAACATATATAGCATAAATTGAATAAATAGAAAAGTGCACTATGGAAATCCTTACGCTATGGTGAAAGACTGCTGCATCTGCACTGAATGCATTTGAAAAGTACGAATTTTTGTGTAGGACAAATGTGTTACCCCAGAACATGCTACTCGAGTTGTTACATCATTAGACTGAAGTTATGTTACAGTAACTTCTCATTGTCTATTGGATGATTTACTTCTTTCCTTTTGTTATCCACATGCAGATGAGAGACTTAACGATATTGTTGGAAGTGCTTATTATGTTGCACCTGAAGTGCTTCATAGATCTTACACTCTGGAAGCAGATATATGGAGCATTGGGGTTATTACCTATATTTTATTATGTGGAAGTCGGCCATTTTGGGCTAGAACGGAATCAGGAATATTCCGTGCAGTGTTGAGAGCAGATCCTAATTTTGAGGATCTACCATGGCCTTCAGCGTCTCCAGAGGCAAAAGACTTCGTGAAAAGGCTCCTCAACAAAGATTATAGAAAGAGAATGACTGCAGTCCAGGCGCTTAGTAAGTTTTTCCTTTTTATATCTTTCCTTCTCACAAGGCCATAGAATAGGGGTTGAAAATGTGAAAATATCTGTACTTTTTGAAGTTTTCTATTATCGTTTTTATATTCTCTTCGATCTCGTAGCATATTAAACTTAACTGTTCTGTTTGCAGCTCACCCATGGTTGCGGGATGATACACGTCGTATACCTTTAGATATATTGATCTATAAGTTGGTGAAGTTGTACCTGAATGCTACTCCTTTCAAACGTGCAGCAATGAAGGTAAAATATTTTCCTTCTTTCCCTTATTCTTCTACTTCTTCTTTTGGTTTTTTAGTTGCTGGAGTCGGAAATTAATTCCGTCGTTTAAAGAAGTGGTTATTTCTTATCTTCTTAATTGAGCTTCAGTCTGGCTTGCCCTTCAGTTAATCAAAGTGATTCTCTCGCCTAGATGTTTTCTATGTGGAACTTAAAATTGTTTTTAATCCTCCGATCATGACATCCTTCCATTTCAGGCTCTCTCAAAAGCTTTGACAGAAAACGAACTCTTTTATCTTAGAGCTCAGTTCGCGTTGTTGGAACCAAATCAAGATGGGCGAGTTGGGCTTGATAACTTCAAAATGGTCAGTGCTTTCTTGGCCCTGCTTTAGTTTTTATAGCATAGGACCATAAATTCATCAGTCTCCTTCACTATTTGTTTTGACTTGTAAGTACACCTATGATCTAGGCTCTAAAGCGGAACGCAACAGATGCTATGAGGGAGTCGAGGGTTCATGAAATTGTAAATTTGGTATGGGTCTTTTCACCTGATGCTTCTCTTCATGCTAGATTGATAAATATAGTTATGACTTGTGATTTTGAGTCTGCTGGTTTTCAACTTAATTAGGAAGTGCACCTTATAATCCCTTCATGTTGATTTATTTAAATTCGAGTTAACCCGTCCCCAAACAAGGTCCAACGTAGAATATTAGACAGAAATTCGGATCAGTATATGCACTAACAATGGAACAAGTGTGAAAGTTCGCCTAATAAAATAAAACAACAAAATTTATTTTCAAAAGTTTGTTACAGTACCAAAAAAAAAATTTTGCATGCTTCCCATTGCTGAAATAAGATACGTTTTTCAGCTAGAGCCTCTTGCCTTCAGAAGAATGGACTTCGAGGAGTTCTGTGCTGCTGCAATCAGTACCCATCAATTGGAAGCTCTTGACCAGTGGGAGCAGATAGCTTGCGTGGCCTTCGAGCATTTCGAGCGCGAGGGAAACCGGGTGATATCAGTTGAAGAATTAGCTAGGGTCCGTTAAAAGCTTGCTCTTTTAAGAATCATGAATAATTTTAATCTGAACATGCTTTCTAACCGTATTCTGTGTATGAATGCAGGAATTGAACCTCGGTTCGACAGCATACTCGATCCTCAAAGAATGGATTAGAGGAGATGGAAAGCTTAGTTTTCTTGGGTATACAAAGTTCTTACATGGTGTCACCCTACGTAGCTCAAATACGAGACACCATTAGTCTTTCTTTCTTCCCTTTTTTTCTTCTTTTTTGAAGTCTTCATTATATATTCAGTTAAAAGTTGGGAGTTCAAGATTGTAGGGGCACTTCAGATTCTTTTTTCCCTCTTTGGGGGGTGGAAATGTGTATAAAATTGAATGTTTAGTGAAGGCAATTGCAAGGGATTGTTGAGTCCACATAATATATCACCAAAAGCTATCAATGCTTCACAGTCTCCTTTCTTTTTTGCTATTCATCACTCTTTCCATTTTTATTTTTATTTTTTTGTTACATCTCTTGACATCTCACATCGATTAGAGGAACGAGTGCCGGTGAGAACACTGGTCTTGAAGGGGTGAAATTGTGAAATCCTACATCGGTTGGAGAGTGAAATGAAACATTGTTTGTAAGGGTGTGGAAACTTCTGCCTAATTTTTAAAAACAATGAAGGGAAGCCTAAAAGAGGAAAGTCCAAAGAAAACAATATTTGTTAACGGTGGTCTTGGGCTGTCAACTGTCACACTATCAATGCTCCATAGTCTTATAAGATAAACAGCTCACTTTGACCTCAACCAGCTATGGTGAGCTAATGTCTAGCACCGATTTTACCGATCTTCTAGAAGGTTCGAATTTTCACTCAATCCGTTATAAAACAAAAAGTAAATAAGAACATAAAAAGGGTATGGTATAGTTGTACATACGAAATAAGAGAGGTAGGGACGGATTGAAATAAAGATTTGATCGAGAACCACAAACGAGGAGGACACATCTTGATATTTGTGTGGACATGCTCATGATATGCTATTGCTTGTCCCCTAAATTTGCCTTCCTATCCATACCTACAACTTCTCATTACTTTAGGTTGTTCCAATTATTTATTATCTTCTATGAATAATTTTTAATATTATTTATGAAAATTTAAAAAAAAGTATCTTATATACATACATACACGAACATTATTTAGAATTATTAAATATCGTTGTCCCTCTTCCACGTGACAATTTCGAAACGCCCCTCAAAATGTATAAAATTACAATTTAGCCCCTCCCAATGCCTTTTAAGTTTATATATTTTCCTTTTCTAATTTTTATTATGGAAAAATATATAAATTCTTTCTTTTGAATGTTTTTTTTTTTAATCCAAAATTAAATATTTTTAAAGTGGTTTTTCATTTAAACGTAGTCCAGAATCACTGCTCTTCTTAGTCTTCTTTTCAAGGAGTTTTAGGCATAATATTTAAGGGTTAAGACATTAACAACCACCTCTCTGTCTCTCTCCTCTATATATCCAAACCCTCCATGGATTGCTTAGTTATGAGCTGAAAAGAAAGTTATGCCCAAAAAACACACAAACACTCCAAAATTCCTTCAAATTTTGAGCTAAAAATGGTGAGTAGGGAGAGATCAAGCCAAGGGAGCCCCAAATTAGGTGTCCCAAAGGGGTATTTGGCTATTAAAGTTGGGCATGAAAGTGAAGAAAAGCAAAGATTTGTGGTGCCTGTCTTGTATTTCAATCACCCTTTGTTCATGCAGCTGCTCAAGGAGGCTGAAGAGGAATATGGCTTTGATCAAAAGGGAACCATCACTATTCCTTGTCATGTGGACCAATTTAGGTACGTCCAAGCCTTGATTGATCAAGAAATCTCCTTCCATTCGCCCCATCTCCACGTTCCGTGCTTTCGGGTTTGACTCTTCACCCTCTTCTCGGGACTATTCGATAAATTATTCAATGAGGTTGCTGCATTGTGACTACCGTCTCGTCTCGTCTCGTCTCTCTAAAGATGTCAGCTTGAACTCTTCTCTTCGTCTGTGTCTAAATGTATAAAATTGGCTGAACTGTTCTCTTCGTCTGCGTCGTTCAATAATTTCGTTCGTCGCAGTAAAATCTTTTTTTACCTTTTGTAGAGTTGTGTAAATTTTGGGGGATAAGTGATGAAGGCAAATGTGCCACCAAGTGTAAAAAGTGGAATGGTTACAGTGAACTGAGCTGGATCCATAAAATGTGTGTTAACACTCAATTATGGTACAGTAAAAAATGATTTTTTTAAGGAAATTTTATAGCAGTTGAATTATCGAGAATAGACTACGGTAAAAGATTATTCCGTTAAGGTACTCAAAAGATTATTCTATTTTAGAAAAGGGGGAGAAGAAAGTATTAAAAAACGTTTAGAAATCAATTTATAGCAAGCAAATAAGCAACAACTATGGTTTTTATAGCATATAACCCGGGCGATTAAAATTGACAATTAGTAACATTACCTACTGTAAAAGTCTATCTAACTATGATTTTGGCTAACGATCACACATCCCCAGCTTGACATAACAATAATAATGAAAGTCTATCTAACGTGAAAACAAGTAAAAAGAGTTTGGAACGGACGTGCAGCCACATGCAACACGTCCTATATAAACATGAACGTGACATCTTGTACACAACCACAGGTAATACACCTTGGACAACCATGATCATGACACACGACACACACCCAGTTGTGTGTCCATGCCTAGCTATGCCCCAACCACTATGCTTGCATGGTCATCTCCATAGCGTGCACGGCCCAACTACTTGCTCCATGTGCACAACGCCCACTTAAAACATGCCTCGTTTAGCGGCGGTGTGTGCCAACCCTTTGCCAAGCGCAACTTGCTCTGTTCCACTCTGCACATGGCGAATGTAGCAAAGCCTCGAGCAGTGGTTGGGGAATACCCTAAACTCGCCATGTACTGACTTTGCCAAGCATTGTCCTAACGCCCCAGATCCACCACTAGCAGATATTGTTCTCATTGGGCTTTCCTTTTCGGGTTTCCCCTCAAGGCTTTAAAACTGGTAGGGGAAGGTTTCCACACCCTTACAAAGGGTGTTTTTTTCCTCCTCCCCAACCAATGTGGGACATTACAATCCACTCTCCTTCAGGGCTCAACGTCCTCGGACACTCTTTCCTTTCTTCAATCGATGTGGGGCCCCCACCAAATCCACCCCCCTTTGGGGCCAGCTCCTTAGCACACCGTATTGTGTCTACCCCATTTGGGGAATAACCTACTCGCTGGCATATAGTCCGATGTTTTGATTCTGATACCATTTGTAACGCCCTAAATTCACCGCTAGCAGATATTGTTCTCTTTGAACTTTTCCTTTCGCGCTTCCCCCCAAGGCTTGAAAAAGCGTCTGGTAGGGGAAGGTTTCCACACCCTTACAGAGTGTGTTTTGTTCTCTTCCCCAACCAACCAATGTGGACATCACAAATTGTCTCCTTATTTTTCATTTAATTTTATTTTAATTCATATCATCGGTCCTACCATCACGATCAAAGTTAGTCCAAGAAAACATGTTAAATATTTCAATTTTCATCTAGTGAAAATTTTGAGGATCGAGATAGCTAACGAAAAGAAATCTCTTCTCATTCTCATTCTCATTCTTTAGGTTCGTTCAAGTCAAATTCCGAGCAAGGTCGAAAAGAAGATGAAAGGTGAAGAAGGGATATTGAGTATTTTGCATGAGCACCACGTTTAAGTTGGATCCATTTATAGAGCAATAATAACCCTTTCAAACAGTAATCAAAATAGGGAACAGTTTAAGAGCTTTAAATGATTTGAGGCGATGCCTTTGTTTCAGTGTGTTTACATGCATTGTTTCTTCGCTGGCATTCTCCTTCTCTTCTCTCATCATCATGCTCTTTTGTTTCTAATTAGTACCATTCTATCATGGCCTTCCAAGTTTATTCCTCGACCCGGGTTCCGATCTTCAAACGTTCAATATTGTGTTTAATCAGTATTCTAAGCTTTGAAAAGTCGACCTTTAAAAGCCCGTATGATAATTTTCTTATTTTTTGACATCCGAGTAAAGGAGTCAAGACCACATCTGAATGAGAGGGATTCTAAATATTAGACAACCAAGAACAACCTATACTAACCTACTGTATCTTTCTTTTCAGTGGTTCAATTATAGAAATTCTATGTCGGGTGACCTATTGGAAATTTTCGTAAGCTGCCTGTTAGTGACAACAAAACATGTTGGAAGGACTCGAGTTGATTATTGACAGTAAAATAAAATAAGGGAATGTCGAGACCATCCAGTGCCGAATTTGGATTCCAAATCTGAGTCATTGACATAGAATTCAAAATATGTTTCTTTCTTTTCTTTAATGGATAAACAAACATAAATTTCTTGTTCTCTTGCAATTTAAAGACATTAAATTTCACATGAAAATTAGTTTTTTTTTTTTTTTTTTTTTTAAATTAAATATCAATTATTGTATTTCTATGTACAAATTTTATTATTTGTGGAGGCATGACCACTATAATAATATTTAATTTTAAAAATAAACCTATGAATTTATTTATAAAATATGAGTAAACTTATTTTTAAAATATTAAAAATATATATTTGGAAAGGAATTATAAATATGGTATAGTATTTAAAAAAATGGCATATGAAAATTTTATTAATCCTTAATTTATTTTAATGGGAGTTTTTAAAATGTAATTAATTATACAACATTTTTATAAATTTGGGCTTTTCTTGCCTTTTTCCAAGCCCAAGGCCCAAATTAAAAATTAAAAATATATATGTAAAGATGTCTAATATATATAAAAGAAATTATACTATACAAATTTTTTTGGTGACGTCATTAGGTAACTCGATAAGCCTGATCAATGTGACCCCCTTTGTGAGACGACACATACAAAACTCTCTTTCTTCATCCCGCCTCAAGAATTACCTTTAAAATTCAGATAAACCCTGGAATTAAAAATGGGCAATTCTGAGCTGGAGGCTCGTCGGCCCATGAATTCTTCAAAGCACGAAACGACATTCTTCAAAAGGTGATTTGTATCCAATTCAATTAATGAAAAACTATAAAATTTTAATGCACTGATAGTACGATTTGGTTGAGTAGCATATTGATATCGTCTCGAGTTACTATATCTTATGAGCTAAGCTTATACTTTCTTCTACCTTTGAATGGATTTTAAACCGAAAAAACACTAGAACGTTGTATCAAAAGTCTCTCTTTCTAGTTTTCATACAAGTTTTGAATTAATGTACGAATTAAAGTAATAGAAAAAAGATTTGGGTACAAATCCCAACGATAACTATTTCAACAACGAATCATCTAGACAATAAATCGAAAACATTAATAGCTGACGACTCCTCGAGTCGTGAAATTGAAAGCGCTTCAGTTCAACATCGAGAATCAAGTCGAAACGAAAGAAAAAAAACGAACAAATTAGATCTAAATCAAAGGGTTAGGGAAAGTGATAGGTTAGAAGAAGATGAACAAATCATTTGTTGTAAAGATCACAAAACCCTAATCCTAGGAAGGCTTGAAAACTGATATGTTAGGAACAAGATCATGGCATGATAAATGATACCCACAATTTGAATATCGCCATCATTGTAACTGGATTGATATCAACTCATGAACTCATCGACGCCAAGACATGCAAGAAGAGAGAGAAAAATGAGCAGATAATAAAGCAAAAAAGGGAAAAAAAAGGGCCAATAATGATGAAAAAAGAGGGGATTTTGGGCAGAGACCCAACTGAAAGTCAAAAAGGAACTTCATCATCACACCAATCTGCAACCAACCCATCTTAATTAATTCACTTCCAAACATTATATTCTCATAAATCCATACCCAAAAATGGAAATTGTTAAAAGAAGACCCGAACCTCTTCGTTGTCGTCGTCGTTATTGTCGTTGAGGGGCGGTGGAATTAATTGGGGGGAATGAAGCCTGGTCCGACGACCTTGAAACTTAGAGGGTTAAGAAAAGCGTCCTCGAGCCAGACAACATTCCCCTCAAAAACAAATCGACGAAACCCTAAGAACCGAGAGAGAAAGGAGGAGGAAGAAGAAGAAGAAGAAGATGATGAAATGGGGATAGAGATGGTGGGGGATATAAAAAGAAGAGAGAAATGAGGGACTAAATTGCAAAGGTAAAGAGTGTAAAAAGACAAAAAATTAGGGGTAGATTTAGTGAAAACCCACCTGGTTTTTCACTTCCAGAAATGTTGTCTCACAAAACCCTATTTCTATGAATTCTGCACATCAACACCGTTGGATTTAACACATGACCTTGATGTGAACTCCTCGTACATGTATCTGTGACAGACATTGACTATAACCATTGCTCATCCTTCACCCTTTTCCCCTAATTTTACCCTAATTTTGCCCTAATTTTCAACTTCTCGTACGGATACGAAGATATGAATCGATACTTACTACCTACATCTTCATTTTCGAAGGCTAATTATACAACCTCTAAATTAAAACGAGAATAAATTGTGTTCAAATGACTCGTGTTGGTTTCCGAGAACAAATTGAAAGTACTATTGGGTGTCAAATTTCAATTACAAACCCTAGTTCTAATGGCTCGTGTTGATTTATAAGAACAATCTTCACTATTCATGGTTATTAGGTCCCGAATTCCAATTACAAACCCTAGTTTGAATGACTCGTGTTGGTTTACGAGGGCAGTCTTAACTCTTGAAAGTACTTTGTTGCTAGGGATATTAGGTGTCAAATTTCAATTACAAACCCTAGTTCGAATGACTCATGTTGGTTTACGAGAACAGTCTTCACTCTTGAAAGTAGTTCGTAGCAAGAAATGTCAGGGCTATTAGATGCTGAATTTCGATTACAAACCATAGTTTGAATGACTCGTGTTGGTTTACGAGGACAGTCTTCACTCTTGAAAGTATTTCATGGCAAGAAATCTCAGTGCTATTAGGTGTCGTGTTCCATTTGCAAGCCCTAACTCGAAATTTCTTTAAAAGATTTTTAACATGTCGATAATTTTCACTCTTAGAAACAGTTCAAGACAAATAAATAACGTGGTCACCGAGACAAGAGAATGTTGAGGTCACGCGGTAGAAAATCTAATTTCAAATAGGATTCGAAAATTAAAAAAAAATTAAATAATTAAAGAAAAAAAAGAATTATAAAGAGGAATCATTCAAAATGAAAGAAGGTTACAAGTAGAAGTGGTTCAGAGGAGTGGTTGAGTAATTGAGCTGCCCGATAACAGAAAACACATTAAATATTTTTTTTTTTGGTACTTTTTACCAATCAAAAAAATTAAAATAAATAAATAAATAATAAGTTAATAATAATTATTTTATTATGATAAATAGAAAAATAAGGGACCCTCGGCTGGCGTGTCACTTTTGGACAGAGCGGGGAATACGAGGCCATGACCGACACATCGGTCTTTGGGCCCCACTTTTCCCCTTTTATTATTTTTTTATTCAAATCTTATTGACCTTTTATCTCAATAAATAAATTAATAAATTAACTTTTTTCTCATTCTATTTAATTTATTATTATTATTATTATTCCTACTCCACTTATCTCTTTCATTTTTTTTTCCTCACTAATTAATTTTATTATTATTTAGGTTTGTTGAATTTGGTAGGTCAAAAACGACACCGTTTTAAAATATCCTAAATTTTAAATTTTAAATTCAATATATTTTTTTTAATGAAATGAAATATATTAAAAATTACCGAATGGGTTTTATAATTGAGATTATTTTCAATTCTAGGACAGTAGATAATTAATGTTACCATTAAATACGAAAAGAAATTAATAGAATATATTATTTTAAAATTAATTAATATGTTGACAGAGACTAGGCATTATACGAGTAATAATGTCTCACAATGCCATGTATGGCTCTGAAATTACAAGCATTCAATGCCCTTGATTTCCCAATGTCGTTTCATCGTCGTCATTATTATTATTTTTACAAATTTTATTTATTTTTTAAATCTTTAATCATTTTTTAATCATAATTCATCCTAAATTTTAATGAATGAATAAATAAATAATTTTTAGATTTTTAATAATGAATAATAATAAAATTTATGTAAAAAAAAAATGGTGGAATCTCTCGTCTCTTAAATGTCTTTTGTAATGATTCGTTAACGGGTACTCGAGCACCATCCTAATAATTTAGATACTAAACTTGTAATATGACCAAAAGTATAAACAAGAACGATGAGGCTAAAACGGGAAGAAACCCTAAAATGAAGAATAGAAGTTGCACGGGTTGAAAATAGAATGAGAAAAGACGAGTTTTGTCTCTCTTTTATTTCAAATAAATTTCAAACGATGATTAATAGAAAATTTTATGTTAAAATGAGTATAACTCAATCATTCCTTATAAGAGTGTGAAAATCTCTCTCTAATAGGTACGTTTAAAAGCGTGAGGCTGACAACGAGCCCCAGAGAGGTGGATTGTGAGATCCCACATAGATTGAAGAGGGGGAACGAAACATTCGTTATAAGGGTGTGAAAACTTGTCCATAATAGACACATTTTAAAATTGTGAGACTGACGGTGATACGTAACGGGTCAAAGAAAACAATATATGCTAACGATGAGTTTGAGCTGTTATATATATCATCGACGAAGAGGAAAAAGACTCGAATCCTTGTTGTTGAGCTAAATTAAAGTAACGGGTCAACGGGGGCAATGAGCACGAAAGCTTATTTTAAACTCGAGAATGAATCGGTTTCGATTGTAATGGTTTAGATACTAAGCTTATAACATAACCGAGAGCACGGAAACAAGAATGACTAGGAGAAACCCTAAAATGAAGAAAAGAAAAAGGGAAGACGCCCGGAAGAAGTGGAGAGAGAGAGGGAGGTGACAAAGGGAGAGGACGAGACAAGCTCCAGATTTCAACGCTTTTCTTTCACTTTCTTCTTGAAAATTGTGTTTCTCTAAACAAAACAAAAACAAACAGAGAAAGCAACAACACGTAAATGTCAAATCCCTCACACCTCAATTATCATATAATTATATCATCTCCACCCTCCCCATTCCTTTCCCTTTTTTTTTTTTTTTTTTTTTTTTTTTTTTTTTTTTTTTCTTTTTATTTATTTACATTTTTTTTTTAAAAAAAATACAAAATAAATCGACAAATTACGTTACGATCTCTAAGGTCAACCCACGAGTCAAAACCAAATAAACGTTAACAAGCATCCAAAACTGTGAGATTCTACATTGATTGAAAATGAGAACTGATATGAACCAAGAGACATCATTTATACGATATGCTTCAATGAAGATGTGAAGAAAATATTGTTAAAATTATCAAAAGATATTTCAATTCATGCCACGTTAAAGAATAATGAAGTTTCATGTTTTGAATTTTGGGTGAATTACAATTTAGAATAATTTAGAGTTATTATATTTCATTAATGTATTTTAACATAATGGTTAATTAAGGTCATTAAGTATGAATGTTACCACTCTTGAAATGCCTTTAATAGTTTCATTTTGAGGCTAAATAAAGCCATGTATGTTGTATTTGTAAGTAGACTTGGAAAATATATAGTGAAAGAAGCATTTGTGTTTTATTTAGCCAATGACTAAGTTTATTTGCAATTCTATGTAATTTAGGTTGCATGTAGAATCATTCAACCTCGACATGATCAATCTTGCTTGTGGAGTGATTCGAATCTCAAACAATGTTCTTGCCTTGAGATATTCGATCAACAAGGTAATCCGAATCTTACTCCTCTTGTAGCGGTTCCTTGTCTTATCAAGAACGAAACATTTTTTTTTATAAGGGTGTGAAAACCTCTTCGTAGCAGACCCATACAAATGTTGAGGGAAAGTCTAAAAAGCATAATATTTGGTAGCAGTGAGCTTGATGGATATGTTCCCTAAATAACTATACACTTGACCGCTCTTCGCACACGTTTGCATGTACTAAGATGGCCAATCCCAGCTAGCTTCATGACCCAAGAAGGAACTTGAGCTGGAGAGATGCCCCACGAAAGCATCTCGCCCCGAATTGACCCGTTGAAGAGGAATTAGAAGAAAAAAATGTTGGCACAAGACTCGATAACTTCACTAAAAAGAACATAATGTCAAAGTTAATCCGTTAATATTTTTGTCTTTAGATTTGATGATTTGAAATATATTTTATTTTATTCTCAAAATTTAGTTAGTTTATATTTTTCTTTGGTAAGTATTAGTTGATATCTTGTATCCTATTTAATTCGGGGGAGATATAGTGTCCCATAATATGTTGGAATATTAGCAAATATTTTATTTTAACAAATTTTTTTAGTACAAAAAAGGGATATTTATTAAATTAAAATATACAGTTAAGACGGTGGGCATCAAAATCGGGTCGGGTTCGAGTAAGTTTGAATCCATAACAGAGGTCAAGTACCCGTTTTCTTGTCCGGGTCATTGAAGAAGAGCGGAGTTCCACGCATTAGCTCTGCACTTTGAAGGATCATACCACTAAGGTTGTTCAGTTCAGGAAGCGAATCAGACGGAAGTTTCGAGAAGATGCCGGTCATGGAGAAGCTGAAGATGTTCGTAGTTCAAGAGCCTGTGGTGACTGCATCGTGTATCATCGGTGGAATTGGTACTCTTTCCTGTTTAAAAGCCCTAAGTTTTGTTCAATTTTTTCTATTTTCTTTTGATCGATGGGATTAAATCGTATACTTGTTTTATTTTTCGCTCAGATCTATCTATGGGGAACAGCATATATTTAAATGTTTTTTTTGGGAATTCTGTATAATTTAGGATCCGTAGAAACAATCACGATTGCAAACTCCTTATTTGACTAAATAGATTTTCGTATTTGAATCCTTTTGGTCGGATGCAGCTTTGCCAATAAATAATTTGTTTCGATGTTGGTATTTATTGGTTTAAACACATAAATGTTCGAGATTGGAGTTTTGAACTTCCATTCAAGCTGTGGCAATGAACTTCTGCAATGTGTTTCAATTCCTGGTTTTTGAGGCGTCTCTATTTTCATCCAAGCATGCTATTTAAGCGAGGTTGGAAGTTGTTTAAGATTCCTAGTAGTTTAGTTATTAAAGTTCTAAGAGGGAAGCATTTTAAGAATGGAAAACTTATCGTCGAGTAATGGTGGTTGTAGGTTAACCATTCCCACATCTGGCAAAGTGTATTTTGGGGGAGAAAAGTTTTAAAGAAGAGGATTATATTGAAATTGGAAATTAAATGTTAGTTGACATGGCCTCTAACCATTGAAATGTAAAACGTGTTTAAGAAAAGGTTAAATTCAACTACCATGATGAAAAAGAAAGTAGAGAGGAGGAGATGTAAGATAGAAATAGAGTAAAATGGATGCAATTTTTACATTTAAAATAATTTGGTTTAGTTTTACCATTTTGAAGTTCAGGGGTCCGTTTTTTTAATTCATTTTTTTAGAGTTTGAGGGTAACTTTTACACCTGAAAGTTTAGAGGTGCAATTGTTACACCCACCATACTTTGGAGGTGGTTTCTTCCACTTGCCCTTAAGTTTATTATTCTCTTATCCTTATTTGTTATGGAATTGCCTTGTACTTTCTTCAGACTTCTCAAACTACCCTCTAGAATGCCTGGTGGAACACATCATGTCACTTCATCAGAAACTACACATTCCACAGTTTTTGCAATGTCTCTCTCGCTTTAAGCACATTAGAAACAATCATTTATCTTTTCCTCGAAAATAATCTGTTGGCTAATATTCAACTTTTCACCCCCCCCCCACACACACCCACACACACACACCCACACACATACCGTCCCCTCATCTTCCATCTCGGCTCTCAAAATCTTCACTCTTCTACCTGACTCATCTATCAGACTAACACAAGGACTCCCCCTCATTAACTTCCTCTAACTACTCCTTTCCTCCTAATACACACACACACATTGGTTAGTGTTTAGGCCTGCCTCAATTATTTTCACAAGGCAACCTGGCCTACTGCATATGGTTGTTAAGGAAATTTATAGGATATGAAGTCCTAGGTAGGTAACTACTGTAGCATTCCCTCATTCCTTCTTACCACTTTTCTATTTACATTAGTCTTTATTTGACCTCTAGGTCAACCCGTAGTAATTCCTTATCCACTCTTTTTAACTCCTCCTTGACTCTCTCTATACGATCGGAATGTGAGCTCCCAAACAATTCTCTCTCCGCATCCTCCAAAGTAGTCTTCTTGGTCTGATCGTCAATCTTCAATGCTGTCTCCTTGGAAAGTGAACTGTGCACTTCCAACACTTCTGTGACTAACAACCTATCAGAGTTTGGAGCCACTACCTGCACAAAGTACACCATCGCCGCTAGTGACCAGTGGTGAAATGAAATACGATAACAAATTTGCAACCCCAATGACAAGAAATAACACTAAAGATAATGCTGAAGAATCAAAGAAAACTTACGAAGGTCCTTTCGAAATTACTCTCTCTTCCCCATTACCATCAACCCTGACAACTTCTTAAGTAATTACAAATATGCCACTGTTAAGTGTCAATATCCCTGATTTTATTTCCACTATTTCCCTACAGGTACTCTAACATATGGAGGGAGAAACCACCATCCCTGTCATTTAAAATTATCTCTGGAAACTTCACTATTTACATTGATATCATTTAATTCACCACCAGCTTCCTCTCCTAATCCGTTCTTCCACTTCAAGATCTCTTCTGACTTTTCATCTTCCTGGATCCCCTTCTATTTATTTTCAAAGATATCACTGATTCATCTAGCATTTTCACTCCCAAAGCGCTAAACATCATTAAATTTTTATACTCAATTTGGCTTGTCACTACTCGTGGATCATGTATCTACTTTTTGGTTTGATTAGTACCATATGGAACATATGTGACATTTTGGTTTCTAACATGTTATAACCCTTGTAGGTCTCTTCCTTCCAGCCGTTGTAAGGCCAATTCTGGATTCCTTTGAAGCATCAAAGCAAGTTCCTCAGCCTGTATTAAGTGATGTAAGTTCGAAATCTTCACAATTGTTAGAAATTCATGTTTTTCTGATTGTGTGGTTTGGTTGAATAATTTGGGCCAAGTGTAAAATGAATTGTCTGCATGCAACAAGTCTATATTTGGGCTAAGTGAGATTCTTGATCAACAAAATTTCCTTCTAAAAGAAGTTCATTTCTTTTTACCTTTTAGTGCCTCAACATTGGTGCTACTAATTATTCATTTACTTCAACATTTATTGTAAATTTATATATTGTCGACTTTGCAGGTGGTTGCAAGTATGACTGGAAAGAAATAGGGATGGATGATCAATCTCAGCAACACAAGAAATAGGCATGATCTTCTCTTCTGTCGTAAAATAAGCCCTCTACATTCTAATCGGATATCAAGTTTGATAGCGTAGCCATTTTTAGACATTACCTTGTTGTTTTATGCCCATACGTACGGCTGATTTTCAAGATATTTCAGTTCTAAGTTTGAAGCCTGAGTAAAACTTGCAACTCCTTTGATTGGTTTCCTACCATTTGTCTCCAAATATTTATACTGTTACAGGACTTCAGGATGAGACGATTATGAACTAATACACGAAAGTGATGACTAATTCATGGCTGTGTTGGTCTTTCTTGAAGTTATCAGGTTTACCATTTTTCTTTAATGATAATTGGATCACAGGCTCCGTTTAATAACTATTTAGTTTTTTATTTTTCGATTTTTAGATATTGTGCTTATTTTTATCTCTTTGATGTGCCTTTGGAGTGCTCAATTAAGGAAAAATGTTGTGAATTATTATTATTATTTATTAGACTAAATATATTTGGATTAAAAGAAAAGTGACGTATAAATCATAGCATATTTATTTTCTCTGCTTTAGAGAAGAAATAAAAAAGCACAAATGTCCAAAATTCATCAAAGAAAAGCTGTGAGCCATAAATATGTTGACTTATCCCATCTTTTTATTAGAAAAAAGATGTGAGAAGATATTCATCCAAATCTTTGTCCATATTATCCATTTCTTTTGAAACTTTATTAAAAATTTAATAAAACAATTCTTGTTTTTTTTTTTTTTTTTTTTTTTTTGGGTAAAACACGATATTAAACTTTACATACGAAAAAAAAACAGACCAAAACATAGAAGAAATCGAGTAACGAAACAAAAGAGGAAAGAAAAAAACGAACTTATGTGATCCTAATCTAATCCAATTTGGTTATCTTTTAACATAATTTGGTCATTGGTTAGCAAATTTCAAATCTCTACGTGTTTTAACTGAAAGCTTTTTTTTTTTTCTTTGGGTTAATAATAATTAAATAAAAAAACACACATACAAAATGCTCAACAAATTTCTCCTTTTTGACTTTACTCCTTCCAATACCCAATTTAACCCTACCATCTTTGGACTAATATTGGTACCAACTCCACCAGCTACTGCATATAATTACTCATCATTTTCTCCACTTAACAGCTACCTTTTACGTCATTTCACTGCCATTTTTTTAGCTATTATTTTTTTGCAACTCTTCCCATGATGTTTTTTTTGTTCTTTTATAAGATATATCTACTTTTATAAGAATACTCATTAAATTTCTTTGCAATGATAGCATACCCAAGATTTTTTCAAGATTCGAAATCCCGAACACCCGATAGCTAATCCCGATATCTTCCTATAACATGATTACGTTACTTATCTCTTATTTTAGAGAAAGAAAACCATCCCACAAACCAACACAAATTTTTACATTATATTTCAACGTCACGTGTTTAATCGTGATAAAAGTCCATCATTGGCTAAGTTTTATAGACCGATCATTGCCTCATGTTTATCAGTAATAAGTATTGATGATCGAATGAAAAACATAATTAATATTCTACGTATAATAAAAAATTATCATTTATTAGTAATAAACATAGAAATTATATATTAATAATCGTATCCGTTAGCTGTCTTATTTTTATTTCTAAAAAAAATTAAATTTTTACCTACGATAAAAGTTCAAAAGTATTGAATACAAAGAAGTTTTGTATAATATGTGACAAATTGGAGGAGCTGTAATGTGTACAATAATGATGATAATAATAGCGATGGATGAGCCTAGAGATGCTCTTCATTGACCCTCCCATTGAAAAAGCCAAGAAATTTCTGCCTTTTTTACACAAAGTACTAAAATTCCTCAAGGCTATGGAGTGTAAAGGAGAGGAAACAAAGCCAAATTCTTCACTTGCAAGGCTACCTCTCTTTTCAATCCCACACCAAGCAATGGACTCTCCCGAACGCTCGGGGACGTTAACTCCGCCAATCTACGCCGCCGTCTCGGTCCCGTTTCGGTGGGAAGAAGAGCCCGGCAAGCCTAGGTTTAGTAACGTCGCCACCACCACCAACACCGTCACGTCTCCGTGCCTAGAGCTACCTCCAAGGCTTTTGTTAATGGAGAAAGTGGCAAGATCTGAGGGTTCTTCCTTTAGAATGATGGGGTCTGATGAGATGAGTTCTTTGTTCATGAAGAGAAGAGGTTGGTTTGGTTCATGGAGAAGAAGCAAAAGAGATGAAGTGTTTCCTTCCTTGGAATGGGAAGTGGAAGCTTCAAGGCTTAGAAGAAATGGGAGCTTTTCAAGCCTTATAAGAACTCAAATTAGGCCTAATTTTTGGGTAACTCTTTCTTTCTTTAATCTCTTTAATGGGTTTTGTTTGCTTTTAATCATAGCTTTATGTATGTAAATTGGTGTTATAGGTAAGTGTTTGTGAAGGTTTGAAGCATGTAGTTCCATCATGGAGAGGCAAAAGGCTAAAGAAAGACGTTTAGCTCGATTTTCAAACGGTTTCAGTGGTAATACTGAAGAAAACTTGTAAATATTTCGTTGATTTCACTGTGTTTTTCATCTTCTTGAGATGGGTCGGGAAGATTGAATCTTACGTTGTTTCAGAGGTACCAAACATGTTTTCAAACTAGTATATCTCGTACGTATGAAAGGATTTGAATTGAGAGAAGTAGCATTAGCTGTTAAAAGTATATCAGTTAAGAATAAGACAGTATCTTGGTTACTATTGTTGATACTGTGTTCTTTTGAGCCATTCACGTGGTGCATGTGAGTCGAGATTGCATAACACTGTTTGAATCGTAATGAGATTTAGTTTCTCGTAAGGTTCTAATAAGAAACGTAAAACACAAAAATAAGTAATTTCTGGCTCGTTTGGTCTTACTATTCTTGAGCGTATTCACGTGATAAACCTACTTTTCGATAACCAATTACCTAAATATCAAGAGCCTTCCTTATAGGGTGGAGTGGGCTTGAGGATCATAAATGGGCCTAGTGGGCTTTTGGGCCAAGGACTGGCAAGCCCATGGGGTTTCATTAGAGGCTTCATGGGCCGGATGAGTTTTTTCAGCCCAATCCAATTGTTCGGGTCGAGACGTTTTTTAAAACCTAATTCAATCATTCGAGTTATAAATTTTTATTTCAATATTATAATTTAAATGAAATGGAAAGTAGGTCTAATTTGGCACAGTGCTTATGACATCACTCAAAACTCCATAGCCTCTACTAAATTTAAAATGAAATTAAAAAAAATAAAATAAAAAGGGTATTTTTGGTAGTGGATTCCAAACCCTAAAATCCTAAAGAAAGCATGGAATAAAGCGTAACAAAAGTGGACACAATCATCAATATTGATGACACATAGCCTTTTATTGATTACTTTTTACAAGTATATATATACATATCCAAGAAGACACTCGAAATTGGAAGGATAAAAAACTCACCCTATGGACTCTCGAGCTACAAGTCCCATGACACAGGAGCGGGATTCTCTAAAAAGCAAAGGTCGCGGGTGGCCAAGAAGGCCCACTTGGCAGCCTTAGCTAGGACCACTGTATGAAACATTGGAGTTAAATGTGTCTTGCCTTGAACGAAGATGAACAGAGACTCCTTGGGATGTCAAGTTCGGATCTTGGCCTTTCCTATCTGCCAACAACCTGCACGATTGGAAACCATTCATTGTGCGGCTCTAGGCATCCTTGGATGATAACACTTCGAATGGTCTCGAAATTGGCCGAAGGAAGAAGCGAAATTATGTATATATATATATATATAGGAGTATGTTTAGGTATTTGACCAAATAAGACTGTTCAGTTTCTATAGACAATATTACTAAAATACCCCTAGAGTGAGATAGGGCTAAATAGTTAAAAAAAATAAATACTATTAACCGTACACGAGATTTGTGAATAAGTAGATGTCTGATAATAAGCAAGGAATGTTTGTATTTTTGCTAAACAATGTATTGAACTTATAACCCGATAGATACATTTTATAAATGCCAATAGTGTATCGTAAAGTGCAAAAGTCCAAACTCACCACCAACATATATTGTCCGCTTTGATTCGTTACGTATCGTCGTCAGCCTCATGATTTTAAAATGTGCCTATCAGGGAGAGGTTTACACACCCTTATAAGAAATGTTTCATTCTCCTCTTCAACCGATGTGAGATTTCACAATCCACCCTCCTTGGGGCTTAGCGTCCTCGTTGGTACACCGCCCAGTGCCTGACTCAAGTACCATTTGTAACAACTCAAACTCATCGCTGCTTTAGCCCATTACGTACGACCATCAGCCTCACGATTTTAAAATGTGTCTACTAGAGAGATGTTTTCACATCCTTATAAGAAATGCTTCATTCCCCACCTCAAACGATGTTAGATCTCATATAAGAAAATTACGGAAATATACTAAGAAGAGAGAGATTCATATGTACAAAGACTATACTACTAAGGTACATGAAATCTAGGGTTTGAAAGGTTGAAGTTTGTTACAATGATCCACCCCCAAGCATCCCACTCCAAAACCCACTTGAAATATTGTTCCCTTGTTGCCTCTCCTTTTGATGATCATCACACTCATTGGGTTCACCACAAGAATTTTGGTTAAGTTCTTGAAAACCAACCAAGTTTGGTCCACCTCCAAACCCATCAACACAATTGATACCCAAACTTGGCTTGAACTCATCAAGAGGCAATGAATGATACCCCAAATCAGCATCAATATTGTTGGAATTTGGCATGAGATTTGGGATAAATGAACTCAAACCCCTAAAACCATTGTTCATATTTTCAACAACTTTAGGGACCTCAACAAAATGAGTCATGGCACAAGGGAAAGCAACGTTGAGATCTTGAGATGAAGGGTAATTTGGTAATCTTGCGTTGCTGTTGTTGTTCTTGTTTTTGAAATGGTCGGACGAAGACGAGGAAGAAGAACAAGACGTTGTTGTTGTTGATTTTCGGCTCTTTCTCGAGCCTCCTCCGACCGGCACGTTTCGAAGAGACCCGCCTTCAGTCCAATACCTTCGACAAGACTTGCAAAAGTATCTTGGCTGCGTGAGGCTATAGTTGTTGTAGTAACAGAATTTGGTGTTGTTCGACTTGCATCTCGGGCAACTCCGTGGCTCTTTTGGAGCTTCCCTTGATGACGATAACAATGACGACGACAATCTTGAGCTTGGTTTAGAGTTTATCTTTTGATTCATGTTTAATCTGTATCTGGCTTACACTAACCCTGCATCCAAAAACACCACCAAGAAAATGAAAATGATAGAGTTGAAGAACGAGGT